ATTTCTATTTTCTAAAAATAAATAATTAATAATAAAAAAAATATGATCGCGTAACGGATTGTACACTGTCAGATCGTTCAACCTTTGCAACCTTTAAAAAAAGAAATAAATATATTAATAAATAATTAATAATAAAAAAAATATGATCGCGTAACGGATTGGCAACCTTTAACAGATATGATTATTGAATAATTGATAAACATTCGTTTTGCAATCTTCATATATCTTAACTAACACTTACTTCGATCAAACCCGCCTATATTATTATTTAATAATTGATAAAGCGTTCATTAAATATATTTTACAAACAGTTTCGTAGATCTCAACTTTAACATTTACTTTGATCAAACCCACCTATATGTCCCATGCCCCATTTGTAAATTCATTGTGCCCGTATAACTTCTCTTTTATCCTATAAATTTTTCAAGAACATTAATAGTAATAATTATTATTATCATCATTATATTTTTAATTCTGACATTAAAAATTATAAATTTTTAATTTATTCCAGTCATATTCAAATCAATCAAATCCATCACGTTCGTTGAGAAATAGCTTTATATTGAAATAAAAAATACATTTATTAAATATCTAAAAAATTACAGGTTATTATAAATCTACTCTATATTCTTTGAAAATTGATTGCGCAAAGCACAAATTCTTTATCTGAGTCCTGAATTTCCCATAAAGTGATTTGTGTCATTGGATGACGGAATTTGCAGTGTATTATTATCATTATTATTATTATTATTATTATTATTATTATTATTATTATTACTAATTTTCCTATACATAATGAATCCAATAAGGACAATTAGAGCTGCCAAAACCAAAAATCCGCCACCAATAGCTACAATGATAAGTCCGGTACTGCCCCCATTATTATCATTGCCACTAGTATTAGGAGGAGGGGGAGTAGTGACAGCAGAAGTATAAGCAGGAGCAGGAGCAGCAGGAGTAGAAGTAGGAGGGGAAGTAGAAGGAACAGTTCCATCACTACTGACATTAATTTCACACCGACCATCATTTTTACACCTTTCACTGACTTCATCAAATAAACGAAGTACACCAGGCTTTGTAAGTTTTAATGTAGCTTTTGGGTTGGCATCTGTTAATTCTGCAGCAACTAATTTGATAATTTAAATATTGTTAAAAAATAACCATGAAAAAATACATTGAAATAATCATACATACATGCACCAGGCTCTGTAGATTTTGTACAAGAAGACCCGTCCTTAACAGCTTCAACAATTCGTGCACCTCCGGTAGAGAATTCATTTTTTTCAAATATTATCTAATAAAAATAATTTAGAAATATTGTATTTGTATTTTTATTATGAGAAAAAATAAAACCTACATTATCTCCAACCCTTGCATCAATAACAGAAGGTGAAAATAATCCTGCAGTACCCGTAAAAGTAACAAGAACTTTAACATCTAAACCATTACTATGATTAGCTATAAAAAGGCAGACAACAAAACAATAAACAATCTTGTTTTTTATTAACATGTTTAATTATTAATATGCGAAAAATTTTTTTTTAATTTTTATAAAAATGGAATTCGTTTTTATTATTTTAAAAATTGGACAATTATAAAGCATTCGCTGTTTTAATATTTGTTTGAGTTACATCGCACTAAATAGAGAAATATTGAATGCTTGTCTGACAATCTATCGTCGGGGAAGGTAACTTGGAAAAAATTATTGGTTCTAGTAGTGATGGGAATTTTTAACCCTACACTTAATAACTCCAAGTTATTAATAGTTAAAATAACCAACCACTTATTAACTATTGCATTTTGAGTGAGAGTTATTAATCCAAAAGATCCATTTTGCCAATCAATCCCGATGTATAGTAATAGTAATAGTAATAGTAATAGTAATAGTAATAGTAATGTGCGGAATGTTCTGTGCTAACCAAATTTAGTTAGCATGCACACTCATACTGAATTTTATGCACTGTCATCACTTATTAAACTAAATTAATTATTAACTTGTTTATCAAATTAATATTTGATTAAACATATATAGATTCAAATAATAAGTACTTAAATAACTTGGTCATTTTTCCAAAATAATTTTACGCCCATCACTAGGTTCTAGCTTTTAAAATCACGTGTTTTTATACAGTTCATATAGAAATGAATATTTTGATCCAACTGAAATTTACCAGGAAATAGATTTTTCCGGTCACGAGAAAAAGCCGTTTACGGTGCAGTTCATCTATAATCAATTCCTTGCTTATACATAGTAACAACTGGTCAGCTTCAAAATAGCTAACCGATAAGTTTTATTGTTCATGACTCAAGCTTCAAAACTTATCGGCTAGTTTTTTCTTAAACTAAAAATTGGCAGAACCTTAGCATTTTGAAGATTCCAAATTTTGTTATAGTACAAGTAAATTTCGTGTAACAAAATTTTTTTTTCATAGAATAATCGAGTTAATAGATAATATAAAAAAGTTTAGCGAACATATTACATCAAAAAGAATTCATTACCAAATTTGGTAAAATATTATAACACGAAAACTATTATTGCATTTTTGAGCATAACTAATTGACTGGTGAATCACACAATATTTCAAATTTTTTAACTATGATCTGCGCTGTAGAATTCAAAATTTCGGAAGAGCCGGAAAAACCAATATTAATATTAATATTAAATACCTTTTCGCCCTGTTTGGATTCCTTTTACTTGATTCGGAAAGATGATCATGTGGCCTTTATTTTTTGAAACACGCACAACTAAGCATAGTAAAATTCATATTGGTGATCATACATACTATAGTGCGGATCATCTATGTGTTGAATTTTAAAAAAACCATCATGCAAAACAAAAAAAAAATTTTTGTTTCAAAATTTTCGTGTTACAATATTTTGAATTATATGACCAAATTTGGTAATAATTTCTTTTGATGTAATGTTCGTTAAATTTTTATTACCTATATTATTAGAGAGTGGGTAACGTATAACCAAAGGACTTGTGGCAGTTGTGTTCAAATTCGTGACAAGAATATCAGCTTGGAGGGAGTTGATTCTGTCATCATGGTTAAAGGATTCAAGGAAACTTGGTTTGATTTTTTCGAAAGTGTCTTTCTCTTTACAAAGTTTATGTGCAAGATTGTCCAAGTTTGGTGGTGAAGTGTTCCATTCAACAGGAAATTGTGTAGGTCTCGGACTGCCTTCAACAAGAATCCAAAGTGTTAACTTCTCCTTCTCAGAACATAATGACATTGCTGATGACATTTCTGACATTGTTGTTTAATTTTTAAAAGGCAAAAAGGTAATAATAAATTATGATTAATAAATATTTTGATTTTTAATTTTTAATATTAATAATATTAATTTGAGGGATGTTTTTTGCACCCAAAATGAATCGCGCGACATTATCTTACATAACCAAATACAAATAAGTCAACAGCATGACCCCCTGGAAACTGCCCTAATTTTGGTAACATTAATAGTAAATCTTTTCAACAGTTAATAATAATAATATTAATATTTTTATTTTTATTATTGACGAGAGATGGGGAGAAAGAAAGGTTATCTATAAACTCCCACTTGTAAATATTATTATTTATTTCTTTGTTATTTAAACACGCATGTATATATATATCTCTTTAAAGGAACGATTTACTGACAGGAGGCTTGATCAATTATATATATATTAATATATATATCTGTAATTTAGTTGTCAAAAATTTTCTTCAACAGATAATTCTTTTTCTTAAAAAAAAAAGTGATTGATAACAAACAAATTTGTTTGATATGAATAGGTAATCTTATGCCACTATGTGTACTATGCGCGAAAAATAAATAAATGACACATCTCTAGTGTAAGAAGATTACGCTGATGGGGAGATATTATCTGTGGTCTTTCCACCAGTTGGGATTTCCAGTTTCAGTTATTGAAGTATTTTAACTAATGCAATGCATCATACTATCTATCATAGAGTATCCCAATGTTATCAATATCAAAGAACTAACAAATCATCGTCCAAATTTTACGTTCGGCACTGTTTTTCATGCATCACTGATCAGTAAAAAATCAAATCCAGCTTTGCTCAGCATTCATTAGAATAATAGCAAGCTATTGAACTATAATTCCAGAATAAAAAAATGAAACAATATTTACTAATGAATATGTTAGAAATAATAACTAGGTAATTCATTATAGATTTATACATATAATATATACAGAAACAATAAACCTTGATAGCATATATTTATTTCATTTCGATTGAAAAATACGTTCAAGATTAAAACACATTTGCGGAGTTGCAAGGGAGGGAAGACAGATAACTACGCAGCCCATAGACTATTTGATATGTATCCCTTTTCTTAGGCTCCACTACTAGCATCTACACTAACAATTTTGCTATTTACCCATGGACTGATCTCTTATTTTTATCATAAAAACTTTTTACTGCTACTATATACCTTAATAGTTCCTATCTCTTCTAAAGAATACCCTTTTTCTACCATGATCCTCTTTAAATCAAGACTGTACAGTTAAGGTAATGGTACTTGGCATGAGAACTGACAGAAGGATTAATGGATTCTGTTTTATTTCTTTGATTGGATTTCAAAGCTTTGGTTCTCTGAACAACTACATAGCCCGGTCTAGAATATCCATGGCTCTTCTTCTATCCCCTCCCTGATAGATAACTGAGGAAGAAGTAATATGTTCTAGTTAATTAAATAAAAATTGTTGATTTGTTTTGTTATAGATCAATGAAAAAATTCCAAAGATACAATTGTATTATATGTTTATCTGAAATCATTGATTCATAAAAACAACATGTTTTTTCTTTATTTAAATTCGAAACAACATTGGTGTTTTTCTCTAACTCACAAAGAACAACTAAAGAATGGCATTAATTTTCTTTGTTTAAATTTAAAACAAAATTGATTTTTTTCTCTAACCCACGAA